TATTATATTAATTGTATTAATGATGACTTATTCATTAATATGACTTATTTATTAATATTAATTAGTTATTAATATTAATTAGTTATTAATATTAATTGTTGTATTAATTATTTTTCGATTCTCCTTCCACCTTGGCGCCGATTTTTAATTCCTTTCCCCCATTAATTATTATCGCATTAATGGGTCATTATTAATTAATTATTAAATCTCCTCCTATTCCTTGGTGGGATAATCGTAATCAATAATGATTATTAAATTCCTTCCTCCCCCACCCCTCAATTCCCCCTCGTTATTATATTAATTGTATTAATGATTAGTTATTTATTAATATGACTTATTTATTAATATCACTTATTTATTAATATGACTTATTTATTAATATTAATTAATTATTAATTAATTAACTTTCGATTCTCCTTCCACCTTGGCGCCGATTTTTAATTCCTTTCCACCATTAATTATTATCGCATTAATGGATCATCATTATGAATTAATTAACTCTTAAATCCCCTCCTCATAATCCTATCCCTTGGTGGAATAATAATCGTAATCCATAACGATTATTAAATTCCTTCCTCCCCCACCCCACAATTCCCCCTCGTTATTATATTAATTGTATTGATGATTAATTATGGTATTAATTATTTATTAATATTAATATTAATTATTTATTAATATTAATTAATTATCCATATGACTTATTAATATGACTTATTTATTATTAATTAACTATTAATATTAATTAATTATCAATAGGACTTATTTATCAATATGACTTATTTATTAATATTAATTAACTATTAATATGAATTAATTATCAATATGACTTATTTATCAATATGACTTATTTATTAATATTAATTAACTATTAATATGAATTAATTATCAATATGACTTATTTATTAATATGACTTATCTATTAATATTAATAAACTATTAATATCAATTAATTATCAATATGACTTATTTATTAATATTAATTATTAATATTGATTATCAATATGACATTTATTAATATGACATTTATTAATATGAATTAACTATTAATATTAATTAATTATCAATATGACTTATTTATTAATATGACTTATTTATTAATATGAATTAACTATTAATATTAATTAATTATCAATATGACTAATTTATTAATATGACTTATTTATTAATATGAATTAACTATTAATATTAATTAATTATCAATATGACTTATTTATTAATATGACTTATTTATTAATATGAATTAACTATTAATATTAATTAATTATCAATATGACTTATTAATATGACTTTTTAATTAATATTAATTAACCATTATTATTAATTAATTATCAATAGGACTTATTTATCAATATGACTTATTTATTAATATTAATTAACTATCAATATTAATTATCAATATGACTTATTTATTAGTATTAATTAAATATTAATATTAATTATTAATATTAATTAATTATTAATATCAATTAACTCTTAATTAATTATTTTTCGATTCTCCTTCCACCTTGGCGCCGATTTGGTTGCCGCACTGGCCGGCCTGCAAATGCACAATTTCCCTCATGATTTTCGGTTATTTCCCGGTTATTTTCGCTTAGTTGACGCGGCTTCCAGCTCGAGATGCTGCCCGGTCGACGCGCGGGAGACACTGGCGGCGTCCCAGCAACGGGCGCCGGCTTTTATACCCTTCCCAACTCGGGCGCTGATTGGTCGGCCGTTGCGGCGCGCGGGCGCTGATTGGTCGGGCGGAAACCCCCCTCGGCCCGCCTCCTTGGCTTCTGATTGGAGCGCGGTTCCCTCGCCTCGACGCCGATTGGGCCGCTTCCTTGTCCGTCAAGGGCGCTTGCCGTTGGTCCGTTTCTTCCCCCATAGGCCTCAATGGAGCGCCGTTTCCCCGCCTCCGCTGCTCATTGGTCGAAGCTCCTTTCTCTCAGCGCGGGCGGCGCCGCTCATTGGTCGACGCTCTTTCCCCTCACCTGATGGGAGCGTCCTTCCCTCAGCTCGACGCCTATTGGTCCGCCTCCGTATCCATCGTCCGCCGGGCGCTTCCCATTGGTCGCTTCCCAGCCCGCCCACCATCCCCATTCCCCTTGCGTTTCGGAGCGCCGCGCTCTCCCCATTGGTCCGCCGGAGCTGTAGTCCCGCCCCTCAGCGCCAACCAGCCAATGGCCGCTCGGAAGCGCCGGAAAGGAGGCCTCTGATTGGTTGCTTTGCGCGGGACCTTAACGGCAAAAAGGCAACCCTCAAATGCAAGCCTGAGCGACGTGACGTCGTGACGTCCTTAGCAACGCGTCGGTTGCCTAGCAACCCGCCGCGCCAAGGACGCCTGAGCGTCGTTACGTCCTTGGCAACGCGTCGGTTGCCTAGCAACAAGGCGCGGCCTGGACTTTTTCCCCTTATAAACGAAGCCTGAGCTAAATTAGTGGCCCGTTAAAAGCAGAAATAAATGAAATAAACCATTAGAATTAAAATAGATCAATTAGTGGCCTGTTTGAAGCATAAATTAATCTAATTAATTAATTAATTACGGAAATAGGCCTCGGTTTCCACGGCAACCAGTCGCGGCCTACGCTTTTTCCCCTCAAAAACGAAGCCTGAGCTAAATTAGTGGCCCATTAAAAGCAGAAATTAATGAAATAAACCATTAGAATTAAAATAGATCAATTAGTGGCCTGTTTGAAGCGTAAATTAATCTAATTAATTAATTAATTAATTAAATAGGCCTCGGTTTCTCTAGCAACCAGGTGCGGCCTATGCTTTTTCCTCAAGAAGCTAAGCCTGAGCTCCATTAATGGTCCGTTTTCAAGCAGAAATTAATGAAATAAACCGTTAAAATTAAAATAGATCAATTAGTGGCCTGTTTGAAGCATAAATTAATCTAATTAATTAATTAATAACAAAATAGGCCTCGGTCTCCACGGCAACCAGTCGCCGCCACGCTTTTCCTCAAAAACGAAGCCTGAGCTAAATTAGTGGCCCATTAAAAGCAGAAATCAATGAAATAAACCATTAGAATTAAAATAGATCAATTAGTGGCCTGTTTGAAGCGTAAATTAATCCAATTAATTAATTAATTAATTAAATAGGCCTCGGTTTCCTAGCAACCAGGTGCGGCCTATGCTTTTCCCTCAAGAAGCGAAGCCTGAGCTCCATTAATGGTCCGCTTTCAAGCAGAAATTAATGAAATAAACCGTTAAAATTAAAATAGATCAATTAGTAGGCCTGTTTGAAGCATAAATTAATCTAATTAATTAATTAATAACAAAAATAGGCCTCGGCTTCCATGGCAACCAGTCGCGGCCTACGCTTCCCCTCAAAAACGCAAGCCTGAGCTAAATTAGTGGCCCATTAAAAGCAGAAATCAATGAAATAATCCATTAGATTTAAAAGAGATCAATTAGTGGCCTGTTTGAAGCATAAATTAATCAATAAATAGAAAAATTAATAAAATAGGCCTCGGTTTCCGTGGCAACCAGTCGCGGCCTACACTTTTCCCTCAAAACGAAGCCTGAGCTAAATTAGTGGCCCATTAAAAGCAGAAATAAATGAAATTAACCATTAGAATTAAAATAGATCAATTAGTGGCCTGTTTGAAGCATAAATTAATCAAATTAATTAATCAATTTAATAAATAGGCCTCGGTTTCCTAGCAACCAGGTGCGGCCTATGCTTTTCCCTGCAAAACGAAGCCTGAGCTAAATTAGTGGTCCATTAAAAGCAGAAATAAATGAAATAGCGTTAAAATGGAATAAAGTCGATAAATTAGTGGCATAAATCAATCAATCAATCAATAAATCACTAAGTTATCCCTTTTATTTCCATTTTTAACGCTTTATTTCCGTGATTTCCGCTTTAAAACGGACCATTAATTGAGCTCAGGCTTCGCTTTGTGAGGGGAAAAGGGTAGGCCTCACTGGTTGCTACAGAAACCGAGGCCTTTTTTATTGATTGATTGATTTGATTGATTGACAGGCGACTCATTTATCGACTTTATTTCCATTTTTAAGGCTTTCTTTCATTGATTTCTGCTTGAAAATGGACCATTAATTGAGCTCAGGCTTCGCTTTGTGAGGAGAAAAGGGTAGGCCTCACTTGTTGCTACGGAAACCGAGGCCTTTTTTATTGATTGATTTGATTGATTTGATAGATTTGATTGATTTGATTGATTTGATTGATTGACAGGCCACTCATTTATTGACTTTATTTCCATTTTTAAGGCTTTATTTCCTTGATTTCTGCTTGAAAATGGACCATTAATTGAGCTCAGGCTTCGCTTTGTGAGGGAAAAAAGGGTAGGCCGCACCTGGTTGCTATGGAAACTGAGGCCTATTTTATTCATTGATTGATTGATTGATTGATAACACTCATTTATCTCTTTTATTTCTATTTTTCATCCTTTATTTCATTTATATTTGCTTTAAAACGGACTATTAATTGAGCTCAGGCTTCGCTTTGTGAGGGGAAAAGGGTAGGCCGCACCTGGTTGCTACGGATACTGAGTCCTTTTTTATTGATTGATTTGATTGATTTGATTGATTTGATTGATTTGATTGACTGATGCCACTCATTTATCTCTTTTATTTCCATTTTTAACACTTTATTTCCTTGATTTCCGCTTTAAAATGGACCATTAATTGAGCTCAGGCTTCGCTTTGGGAGGGAAAAAGGGTAGGCCGCACCTGGTTGCCATGGAAACTGAGGCCTATTTTGTTAATCAATTAATTAGATTGATTAATTTATGCTTCAAAACAGGCCACTAATTGATCTATTTTATTTTTCATGCTTTCTTTCATTTATATTTGCTTTAAAACGGACCATTAATTGAGCTCAGGCTCGCTTGTGAGGGAAAAGGGCAGGCCGAACCTGAGTTGCTATGGAATCTGGAGGCCTTTTGATTGATTGATTGATTGATGCCACGAATTTCTCTCTTTTATTTCTATTTTTCATGCTTTATTTCTTTTAAATTTGCTTTAAAACGGACCATTAATTGAGCTCAGGCTTCGCTTTGGGAGGCGAAAAGTGTAGGCCTCACTGGTTGCTACGGAAACCGAGGCCTTTTTTGTTGATTGATTGATTTGATTGATTGATTGACAGGCCACTCATTTATCGACTTTATTTCCATTTTTAACGCTTTATTTCCTTTATTTCCGCTTTAAAACGGACCATTGATTGAGCTCAGGCTTCGCTTTGTGAAGGAAAAAGGGTAGGCCGCACCTGGTTGCCATGGAAACTGAGGCCTAAAAAAGAATGTAGGAAGAAAAAAGAAGGAAGGAAGGAAGGAAGGAAGGAAGGAGAAAAAGAAGGAAGGAAAGGGAAGGAAGGAGGCAGGGAAGGGAGGAATAAAGGAAGAAAAGCAAAAGAAAGAAGGAAGGAAGGAGGGAAAGATGGAGGAAAGAGGGAGAAGGAAGGAAAGAAGGAGAGACGGTGGGAGATCGGGAAGGAAGGAAGGGAGGGAGGAAGGAGGGAGGGAGAAAAGGAAGGAAGGAGGAAAGAAGGAAGGAGGGAGAAAAAGAAGGAAGGAAGGAAGGAAGGAGGAGAAAAGGAAGGTGGGAGAAAAGGAAGGAAGGAAAGGGAAGGAGGGAGGGAGAAAAGCAGAGAGGCAGAGAAAGAAGGAAGGAAAAAAGGAAGGAGGAGGGAGGGAAGGAAGGAAGGAAGGAAAGGAGGAAGGAAGAAAAAAAAGGAGGGAAGGAAGGAGGGAAGGATGGAAGGAGAAAAAGAAGGAAAGGGAGGGAAGGAAGGAGGGAAGGAGAAAAAGAAGGAAAGGGAAGGAAGTAAGCAGGGAAGGGAGGAATAAAGGAAGAAAAGCGAAAGAAAGGAAGGCAGGAAGGAAGGAGGGAGGGAAGGATGAAGAGGGAGAAGGAAGTAAGAAGGAGAGAGGGTGGGAGATTAGGAAGGAGGGAAGGAAGGAAGGAGGAAAGAAGGAAGGAGGGAGGGAGGAAAGGAAGGAGGAAAGAAGGAAGGAGGGAGAAAAGCAGAGAGGCAGAGAAAGAAGGAAGGAAAAAAGGAAGGAGGAGGGAGGGAAGGAAGGAAGGAAGGAAAGGAGGAAGGAAGAAAAAAAAAGGAGGGAAGGAAGGAGGGAAGGATGGAAGGAGAAAAAGAAGGAAAGGGAGGGAAGGAAGGAGGGAAGGAGAAAAAGAAGGAAAGGGAAGGAAGTAAGCAGGGAAGGGAGGAATAAAGGAAGAAAAGCGAAAGAAAGGAAGGCAGGAAGGAAGGAGGGAGGGAAGGATGAAGAGGGTGAAGGAAGTAAGAAGGAGAGACGGTGGGAGATTAGGAAGGAGGGAAGGAAGGAAGGAGGAAAGAAGGAAGGAGGGAGGGAGGAAAGGAAGGAGGAAAGAAGGAAGGAGGGAGAAAAGGAAGGAAGGAAGGAAGGAAGGAAGGAAGGAAGGAGAGACGGTGGGAGATTAGGAAGGAAGGAGGGAAGGAAGGAAGGAAGGAAGGAGGGAGAAAAGGAAGGAAGGAAGGAAGGAAGGAAGGAAGGAAGGAAAAAGAAAGAAGGAAGGAAGGAAGGAAGGAAGCAGGGAAGGGAGGAATAAAGGAAGAAAAGCAAAAGAAAGAAGGAAGGAAGGAGGAAAGAAGGAACGTGGGAGAAAAGGAAGGAAGGAAGGAGGGAGAAAAGGAAGGAAGGAAGGAGGAAAGAAGGAACGTGGGAGAAAAGGAAGGAAGGAAAGGGAAGGAAGGAGAGAGAAAAGGAAGGAAGGAGGGAGGGAGGGAGAAAAGCAGAGAGGCAGAGAAAGAAGGAAGGAAAAAAGGAAGAAGGAGGGAGGGAAAGAAGGAAAGAGGGAAGAAAGAAGGGGGAAAGAGGGAAGGAAGGAAGGAAGAAAAAAGGAGGGAAGGATGGAGGGAAGGAGAAAAAGAAGGAAAGGGAAGGAAGGAAGTAAACAGGGAAGGGAGGAATAAAGGAAGAAAAGCAAAAGAAAGGAAGGCAGGAAGGAAGGAGGGAGGGAAGGATGGAGGAAAGAGGGAGAAGGAAGTAAGAAGGAGAGACGGTGGGAGATTAGGAAGGAAGGAAGGAGGAAAGAACGAGGGAGGGAGGGAGAAAAGGAAGGAGGAAAGAAGGAAGGAAGGAAGGAAGGAAGGAAGGAAGGAAGGAGAGAGGGTGGGAGATTAGGAAGGAAGGAAGGAAGGAGGAAAGAAGGAAGGAGGGAGAAAAGGAAGGAAGGAAGAAAGGAAGGAAGGAGAGACGGTGGGAGATTAGGAAGGAAGGAAGGAAGGAAGGAAGGAGGAAAGAAGGAAGGAGGGAGAAAAGGAAGGAAGGAAGGAAGGAAGGAAGGAAGGAAGGAAGGAAGAAAAGAGAAGGAAGGAAGGAAGGAAGGAAGGAAGGAAGGAAGGGAGGGAGGAATAAAGGAAGAAAAGCAAAAGAAAGAAGGAAGGAAGGAGGGAAGGATAGAGGACAGAGGGAGAAGGAAGGAAAGAAGGAGAGACGGTGGGAGATTAGGAAGGAAGGAGGGAAGGAAGGAAGGAGGAAAGAAGGAAGGAAGGAGGGAGTAAAGGAAGGAGGAAAGAAGGAAGGATGGAGAAAAGGAAGGAAGGAAGGAAGGAAGGAAGGAAGGAAGGAAGGAAGGAAGGAAGGAGAGACGGTGGGAGATTCGGAAGGAAGGAGGGAAGGAAGAAAAAGGAAGGAAGGAAGGAAGGAAGGAGGGAGAAAAGGAAGGAAGGAAGGAAGGAAGGAAGGAAGCAGGGAAGGAAGGAAGGAAAAAGAAGGAAGGAAGGAGGGAGGGCGGGAGAGCGAAAAAGAAGGAAGGAAAGGGAGGGAAGGAAGCAGGGAAGGGAGGAATAAAGGAAGAAAAGCAAAAGAAAGAAGGAAGGAAGGAGGGAAGGATGGAGGAAAGAGGGAGAAGGGAGAAAAGAAGGAGAGATGGTGGGAGATTTGGAAGGAAGGAGGGAAGGAAGGAAGGAAGGAAAGAAGGAAGGAAGGAAGTAAGCAGGGAAGGAAGGAAGGAAAAAGAAGGAAGGAAAAAGAAGGAAGGAAGGAGGTAGGAAGGGAGGGAGAGCGAAAAAGAAGGAAGGAAAGGGAGGGAAGGAAGCAGGGAAGGGAGGAATAAAGGAAGAAAAGCAAAAGAAAGAAGGAGGGAAGGATGGAGGAAAGAGGGAGAAGGACGGAAAGAAGGAGAGACGGTGGGAGATCGGGAAGGAAGGAAGGGAGGGAGGAAGGAGGAAAGAAGGAAGGTGGAGAAAAGGAAGGAAGGAAGGAGGAAAGAAGGAAGGTGGGAGAAAAGGAAGGAAGGAGGGAGGGAGAAAAGCAGAGAGGCAGAGAAAGAAGGAAGGAAAAAAGGAAGGAGGAGGGAGGGAAGGAAGGAAGGAAAGAGGGAAGGAAGGAAGGAAAGGAGGAAGGAAAGGAGGGAGAAGGAAGGAAGGAAGGAAGGAAGGAAGGAAGGAAGGAAGGAAGGAAAAAGAAGGAAGGAAAGGAGGGAGAAAGAAGGAAGGAAGGGAAGGAAGGAAGGAAGGAAGCAGGGAAGGGAGGAATAAAGGAACAAAAGCAAAAGAAAGAAGGAAGGAAGGAAGGAGGAAAGGATGGAGGAAAGAGGGAAAAGGAAGGAAAGAAGGAGAGACAGTGGGAGATCAGGAAGGAAGGAAGGGAGGGAGGAAGGAGGAAAGAAAGAAGGTGGGAGAAAAGGAAGGAAGGAAGGAGGAAAGTAGGAAGGAGGGAGAAAAGGAAGGAAGGAGGGAGGGAGAAAAGCAGAGAGGCAGAGAAAGAAGGAAGGGAAAAAGGAAGGAGGAGGTAGGGAAGAAAGAAGGGGGAAAGAGGGAAGGAAGGAAGGAAGAAAAAAGGAGGGAAGGAAGGAGGGAAGGAGAAAAAGAAGGAAAGGGAAGGAAGGAAGGAAGCAGGGAAGGGAGGAATAAAGGAAGAAAAGCAGAGAGGCAGAGAAAGAAGGAAGGAGGAGGGAGGGAAGGAAGGGTTATTTTTATACTATTTGAATTTCTATATTATTATTATTATTATTATTACTATTATTACTATTATTACTATTATTACTATTATTACTATTATTACTATTATTATTATTATTATTACGGTTTCCAGAAGAAAAATCAAAATATAAAAGCAAAATATAAAAGAATATAAAATATAATCATCATCATCATCGTTATCACAACTATTATTATTATTGTTGTTGTTATTATTATTATTATTATTACTATTATTACTATTATTATCGTAATCAAGACACGAGACAAATATGAATTGCCCAAAGTGAAGCTTTATTCGGAGCGCCGAAAAAATACGTCCGTCTCCTCATTCCACTTCTTCGTAAATGTGATTTTCCCGCCTGTCAAATGGGCGCAAGGGGAAAGCTGTCAATCATTCAGTGGGTGGGACTAGAGGACCCTGGCCCCGCCTTCCCCGTCAATCATTCGGCGAACCCTGGCCCCGCCTTCCCTGTCAATCATTCAGCGAACCCTGGCCCCGCCTTCCCTCTCAATCATTCCTTCCTTGTCAATCATTCCTTCCCTGTCAATCATTCCGGGATTCAACCCGCCTTCCCTGTCAATCATTCAGGGGGTGGGACTAGACCCTGGCTCCGCCTTCCCTCTCAATCATTCCTTCCCTGTCAATCATTCCTTCCCTGTCAATCATTCCGGGATTCAACCCGCCTTCCCTGTCAATCATTCAGTGGACCCTGGCTCCGCCTTCCCTGTCAATCATTCAGGGGGAGGGACTAGATGACCCTGGCTCCGCCTTCCCTGTCAATCATTCATCAGGGGGAGGGATCAGATGAGCCTGGCCCCGCCTTCCCTGTCAATCATTCCTTCCCTGTCAATCATTCCGGGATTCAACCCGCCTTCCCTGTCAATCATTCAGGGGGTGGGACTAGATCACCCTGGCTCCGCCTTCCCTGTCAATCATTCAGGGGGTGGGACTAGATGACCCTGGCTCTGCCTTCCCTGTCAATCATTCCTTCCCTGTCAATCATTCCTTCCCTGTCAATCATTCCTTCCCTGTCAATCATTCCTTCCCTGTCAATCATTCAGCGGACCCTGGCTCCGCCTTGCCTGTCAATCATTCCTTCCCTGTAAATCATTCCTTCCTGTCAATCATTCAGCGGACCCTGGCTCCGCCTTGCCTGTCAATCATCCAGCGGACCCTGGCTCTGCCTGTCCATCTTTCCTTCCCTGTCAATCATTCTGGAACTAGATGACCCTGGCCCCGCCTTCACTGTCAATCATTCCTTCCCTGTCAATCATTCAGTGGACCCTGGACCCGCCTTCCCTGTCAATCGTTCCTTCCCTGTCAATCATTCCGGGATTCGACCCGCCTTCCCTGTCAATCATTCAGAGGGTGGGACTAGAGGACCCTGGCTCCGCCTTCCCTGTCAATCATTCCTTCCCTGTCAATCATTCAGTGTACCCTGGACCCGCTTTCCGTGTCAATCGTTCCTTCCCTGTCAATCAATCCGAGATTCGACCCGCCTTCCCTGTCAATCATTCCTTCCCTGTCAATCATTCAGTGGACCCTGGACCCGCCTTCCCTGTCAATCGTTCCTTCCCTGTCAATCAATCCTGGATTTGACCCGCCTTCCCTGTCAATCATTCAGAGGGTGGGACTAGAGGACCCTGGCTCCGCCTTCCCTGTCAATCATTCCTTCCCTGTCAATCATTCAGTGGACCCTGGCTCCGCCTTCCCTGTCAATCATTCAGAGGGTGGGACTAGAGGACCCTGGCCCCGCCTTCCCTGTCAATCATTCCTTCCCTGTCAATCATTCAGTGTACCCTGGCTCCGCCTTCCCTGTCAATCATTCAGAGGGTGGGACTAGAGGACCCTGGCCCCGCCTTCCCTGTCAATCATTCCTTCCCTGTCAATCATTCAGTGGACCCTAGCTCCGCCTTCCCTGTCAATCATTCAGGGGGTGGGACTAGACGACCCTGTCAATCACTTACCCGGAAAGCGGCGTCTCGGCGATCGGAGAAGCTTCGCCTCTAAGGAAGGAAGGAAGGAAGGAAGGAAGGAAGGAGGGAAGGAAGGAAGGAAGGGAAGATGGAGAGAAGGAAGGAAGAGAGGGAAGGAAGACAAAGAAAGAAAGAAAGAAAGAAAGAAAGAAAGAGGGAGGTAAAGAGAAGGAAGGAAGGAAGGAAGGAATGAAAGGAAGATGGAGAGACGGAGGGAGAGAGGGAAGGAGGGAAGGAAGGAAAGGAAGAAGGAAGGAAGGAAGGAAGGAAGGAAGGAAGGAATGAAGGAATGAAGGAAAGAAGAAAGGAAGGAGGAAGAGATGGAGGAAGGAGGGAAGGAAGGAAGGAAGGAAGGAAGGAAGGAAGGAAGGGAAGATGGAGAGAAGGAAGGAAGAGAGGGAAGGAAGACAAAGAAACAAAGAAAGAAAGAAAGAAAGAGGGAGGTAAAGAGAAGGAAGGAAGGAAGGAAGGAAGGAATGAAAGGAAGATGGAGAGACGGAGGGAGAGAGGGAAGGAGGGAAGGAAGGAAAGGAAGAAGGAAGGAAGGAAGGAAGGAAGGAAGGAAGGGAAGATGGAGAGAAGGAAGGAAGAGAGGGAAGGAAGACAAAGAAAGAAAGAAAGAAAGAAAGAAAGAAAGAAAGAGGGAGGTAAAGAGAAGGAAGGAAGGAAGGAAGGAAGGAAGGAAGGAATGAAAGGAAGATGGAGAGACGGAGGGAGAGAGGGAAGGAGGGAAGGAAGGAAAGGAAGAAGGAAGGAAGGAAGGAAGGAAGGAAGGAAGGAAGGAAGAAAGTAAGGAATTAAGGAATGAAGGAAAGAAGAAAGGAAGGAGGAAGAGATGGAGGAAGGAGGGAAGGAAGGAAGGAAGGAAGGAAGGGAAGAAGGGAGGAAGGAGGGGGAAAGGAAGGGGGAAAGAGGGAGAAGGAAGGAAAGGAAGGAAGGAAGGGAGGGAGGGAGGGAGGAGGGAAGGAGGGAGGGAGAAAAGAAGGGGGAAAGAGGAAGAAGGAAGGAAGGGGAGAAGGGAGAAGGAAAGAAGGAAGGAAAGAAGAAGGGAATTAATTAAGGAAAGCAAGAAAGAATTAAGGAAGGAGGAAAGGAAGGAAGGAAGGAAGGAAGGAAGGAAGGAAGGAAGGAAGGAAAAGGAAGGAAGGGAAGAGAGAGAGAAGGAAGGAAGAGAGGGAAGGAAGACAAAGAAAGAAAGAAAGAAAGAAAGAAAGAAAGAAAGAGGGAGGTACAGAGAAGGAAGGAAGGAAGGAAGGAAGGAAGGAAGGAAGGAAGGAAGGAGGGAGGGAAGGAAGGAAGGAAGGAAGGAAGGAAGGAAGGAAGGAAGGAGGGAGGGAAGGAAGGAAGGAAGGAAGGAAGGAAGGAAGGAAGGAGGAGGGAGGGAGGGAGGAAGGAAGGAAGGAAGGAAGGAAGGAAGGAAAGGAAGAAGGAAGGAAGGAAGGAAGGAAGGAAGGAAGGAAAAGGAAGGAAGGGAAGAGAGAGAGAAGGAAGGAAGAGAGGGAAGGAAGACAAAGAAAGAAAGAAAGAAAGAAAGAAAGAAAGAAAGAAAGAAAGAGGGAGGTACAGAGAAGGAAGGAAGGAAGGAAGGAAGGAAGGAAGGAAGGAAGGAAGGAGGGAGGGAAGGAAGGAAGGAAGGAAGGAAGGAAGGAAGGAAGGAAGGAAGGAGGGAGGGAAGGAAGGAAGGAAGGAAGGAAGGAAGGAAGGAAGGAGGGAGGGAGGGAGGGAAGGAAGGAAGGAAGGAAGGAAGGAAGGAAGGAAAGGAAGAAGGAAGGAAGGAAGGAAGGAAGGAAGGAAGGAAGGGAAGATGGAGAGAAGGAAGGAAGGAAAGAAGAAAGGAAGGAAGGAGAGATGAAGGAAGGAAGGAAGGAAGGAAGGAAGGAAGGAAGGAAGGAAGGAATTAAGGGGGGAAGAAAGAAGGGAGGAAGGAGGGAGAAAGGAAGGGGGAAAGAGGGAGAAGGAAGGAAAGGAGGGAGAAGGAAAGAAGGAGAGACGGAGGGAGAACGGGAAGGAGGGAAGGAAGGAAAGGAGGAAGCAAGGAAGGGAAGAAGGAAGGAAGGAGGGAAGGGAAGAAGGGAGGAAGGGAAGGATGGAGGGAGGGAAATAAGATGAAAGAAGGGGGAAGGAGGGAAGGAAGAAAGAAGGTAAGAAAGGTGGGGGGAGGAAGGAAGGAAGGAAGGAGAAAAGAAGGGGGAAAGAGGAAGAAGGAAGGAAGGGGAGAAGGGAGAAGGAAAGAAGGAAGGAAAGAAGAAGGGAATTAATTAAGAAAAGCAAGAAAGAATTAAGGAAGGAGGGAAGGAAGGAAGGAAGGAAGGAAGGAAGGAAGGAAGGAAGGAAGGAAAAGGAGGGATGGGCAGAGAGAGAGAAGGAAGGAAGAGAGGGAAGGAAGACAAAGAAAGAAAGAAAGAAAGAAAGAAAGAAAGAAAGAAAGAAAGAAAGAAAGAAAGAAGAAAGAGGGAAAGAGAAGGAGGGAAGGAAGGAAAGGAAGAAGGAAGGAAGGAAGGAAGGAAGGAAGGAAGGAAGGAGGAAAGTAAGGAATTAAGGAAGGAAAGAAGGAAAGAAGAAAGGAAGGAAGGAGAGATGGAAGAAGGAGGGAAGGAAGGAAGGGAAGAAGGAAGGAAGGAAGGACGGAAGGAAGGAAGGAAGGAAGGGGGGAAGAAAGAAGGGAGGAAGGAGGGAGAAAGGAAGGGGGAAAGAGGGAGAAGGAAGGAAAGGAAGGAAGGGAGGGAGAAAAGAAGGGGGAAAGAGGAAGAAGGAAGGATGAAGGAAGGAAGATAGGAAAGGAGGGAGGGAGGAGAGGAGAGAGAGGGAGAGAGGGAAGGAAGAGAGGGAAGGAAGACAACGAAAGAAAGAAAGAAAGAAAGAAAGAAAGAAAGAAAGAGGGAGGAAAAGAGAAGGAAGGAAGGAAGGAAAGGAGGGAGAAGGAAAGAAGGAGAGACGGAGGGAGAATGGCAAGGAGGGAAGGAAGGAAAGGAGGAAGGAACGAAGCGAAGAAGGAAGGAAGGAAGGAAGGAAGGAATTAAGGAAGGAAGGAAAGAAGAAAGGAAGGAAGGAGAGATGGAGGAAGGAGGGAAGGAAGGAAGAAAGAGAAAAAGGAAGGAAGGAAGGATGGAAGGGGGGAAGAAAGAAGGGAGGAAGGAGGGAGAAAGGAAGGGGGAAAGAGGGAGAAGGAAGGGAAGAGAGAGAGAAGGAAGGAAGAGAGGGAGGGAAGACAAAGAAAGAAAGAAAGAAAGAAAGAAAGAAAGAAAGAAAGAAAGAAAGAAAGAGGGAGGGAAAGAGAAGGAAGGAAGGAGGGAGGGAAGGAAGGAAGGAAGGAATTAAGGAAGGAAGGAAAGAAGAAAGGAAGGAAGGAGAGATGGAGGAAGGAGGGAAGGAAGGAAGAAAGGGAAGAAGGAAGGAAGGAAGGAAGGATGGAAGGGGGGAAGAAAGAAAGGTGGAAGGAGGGAGAAAGGAAGGGGGAAAGAGGGAGAATGAAGGAAAGGAAGGAAGGAAAAGGAAGGAAGGAAGGGCAGAGAGAGAGAAGGAAGGAAGAGAGGGAGGGAATACAAAGAAAGAAAGAAAGAAAGAAAGAAAGAAAGAAAGAAAGAAAGAAAGAGGGAGGGAGGGAAAGAGAAGGAAGGAAGGAGGGAGGGAAGGAAGGAAGGAAGGAAAGGAAGATGGAGAGACGGAGGGAGAGAGGAAGGAGGGATGTAAGGAAAGGAAGGAAGCAAAGAAAGGAGGGAGAAGGAAAGAAGGAGAGACGGAGGGAGAACGGGAAGGGGGGAAGGAAGGAAAGGAGGAAGGAAGGAAGGAAGGAAGGGAAGAAGGAAGATTGCAGGGAAGGGAAGAAGGGAGGAAGGGAAGGATGGAGGGAGGGAAATAAGATGAAAGAAGGGGGAAGGAGGGAAGGAAGAAAGCAGAGGGTAAGAAAGGTGGGGGGACGAAGGAAGGGAAGAAGGAGAGATGGAGGAAGGAGGGACGGAAGGAAGGAAGGAAGGAGGGAGGGAGGGAGGGAGAAAAGAAGGGGGAAAGAGGAAGAAGGAAGGAAGGGGAGAAGGGAGAAGGAAAGAAGGAAGGAAATAAGGAAAGAAGAAGGGAATTAATTAAGGAAAGCAAGAAAGAATAAAGGAAGGAGGGAAGGAAGGAAGGAAGGAAAAGGAAGGAAGGGAAGATGGAGAGAAAGAAGGAAGAGAGGGAAGGAAGACAAAGAAAGAAAGAAAGAAAGAAAGAAAGAAAGAAAGAAAGAGGGACTGAAAGAGAAGGAAGGAAGGAAGGAAGGAAGGGAAGATGGAGAGACGGAGGGAGAGCGGGAAGGAAGACAAAGAAAGAAAGAAAGAAAGAAAGAAAGAAAGAAAGAAAGAAAGAAAGAAAGAGGGAGGGAAAGGAGGAGGAAGGAAGGAAGGAAAGGAGGGAGAAGGAAAGAAGGAGAGACGGAGGGAGAACGGGAAGGAGGGAAGGAAGGAAAGGAGGAAGGAACGAAGGGAAGAAGGAAGGAAGGAAGGAAGGAAGGAAGGAAGGAAGGAAGGAAGGAGGAAAGTAAGGAATTAAGGAAGGAAGGAAAGAAGAAAGGAAGGAAGGAGAGATGGAGGGAAGGAAGGATGGAATTAAGGAAGGAAGGAAGGAAGGAAGAAAGGAAGAAAGGGAAGAAGGAAGGAAGGACGGAAGGAAGGAAGGGGGAAGAAAGAAGGGAGGAAGGAGGAAGAAAGGAAGGGGGAAAGAGGGAGAAGGAAGGAAAGAAGGAGTGATGGACGAAGGAGGGAAGGAAGGAAGGAGGAAAGAAAGAAAGAAGGAAGGAAAGGAAGGAGGGAAGGGAGGAAAGAAAGGAGGGAGAAGAAAGAAGGAAGGAAGGAAAGAGGAAGGAAAGGAAGGAAGGCAGAAGGAAGGAAGGAAGGAGAGAGAGAGAGAGAGGGAGAGGGAGAGAGAGAGAGAGAGATGGAAGAAAGGATGGGAGGAAGGAAGGGAAGGAGGAAAGGAGGAAGGGAAGGGGTGGGAGGGAAGGATGAAGGAAAGAGGGAATTAATTAATGAAAGCAAGAAAGAATTAAGGAAGGAGGAAAGGAAGGAAAGAAGGAGGAGGGAGGAAAGGAGGGTAAAGGAAGGAAGGAAAGAAGGAAGGAGGGAGAGAAGGAAGGCAGAAGGAAGGAAGGAAAGAGAGAGAGAGAGAGAGATGGAAGAAAGGATGGGAGGAAGGAAGGGAAGGAAGGAAGGAAGGAAGGAAGGAAGGAAGGAAGGAAGGGAGGGAGGGAAGGGGTGGGAGGGAAGGATGAAGGAAAGAGGAAATTAATTAATGAAAGCAAGAAAGAATTAAGGAAGGAGGAAAGAAAGGAAAGAAGGAGGAGGGAGGGAGAGAGGGAAGGAAGGAAGGGAAGAAGGAAAGGAGGGAGGAAAGGTGGGTAAAGGAAGGAAGGAAAGGAGGGAGGGAAGGAAAGAAGGAAGGAAGGAAGGAAGGAAGGAAGGAAGGCAGAAGGAAGGAAGGAAGGAGAGAGAGAGAGAGAGGGAGGGAGAGAGAGAGAGATGGAAGAAAGGATGGGAGGAAGGAAGGGAAGAAAGGAGGAAGGGAAGAAAGGAAGGAAGGAAGGAATGGAGGGAAGGAAGGAAGGAAGGAAGGAGGGAAGGAAGGAAGGAAGGAAGGAAGGAAGGAAGGAGGGAAGGAAGGAAGGAAGGAAAGAAGGAAGGAAGGAGGGAGGAAGGAAGGAGGGAAGGAGGGAAGGAAGGAAGGAAGGAAGGAAGGAGGAAGGAAGGAAGGAAGGAAGGAAGGAAGGAAGGAAGGAGGGAGGGAAGGAAGGAAGGAGGGAAGGAAGGAAGGAAGGAAGGAAGGAAGGAAGGAAGGAGGGAGGGAAGGAAGGAAGGAAGGGAGGGAAGGAAGGAAGGAAGGAAGGAAGGAAGGAAGGAAGGAAGGACAACCACATCACTACCAAGGTCCCCCGGGGTCATCCATCCCACTCCTCTCCCCCTCCGCCCAATCCCCTTCCTCCCCATCCTTTTGTGGGCGGGACTTCCGGGGCGGGACTTCCTGCCCCCACGTACGATTTCTCCGGCTTGGTCCCTTCCGGGCTTCCGTAGATTTCCTCCTCGTTTTTGCCCGGCGACAAAATTTCGGCGCCGGCGGCGGAATAAATTTTGGGCGGAACGGGGCTGGAAGGAGAAAATTACGATTATTACAATATTACAAATACAATATTACAATATTATAAATATATTATTATTATTATTATTATTATTATTATATTACAATATTATAAATATATTATTATTATTATTATTATTATTATTATCATTATCATTATTATTATCATAATATTATGTATTATAATAAGAATAATAATAAATATTTATAATAATTATTTTAAATTAAATTTATAAATGAAATTATAATGAAATAGATTCACTCAACCCTATTATTCCATTCTTTGAATATTGTATTCTTATCTTCTTTTCATTATTATAATTTAATATTCTATTGTTATTAAAAATAAGTAAAAAATAAAAATATCAAATTTTAAATATAATAATTTTAAATTAAATTTATAAATGAAATTATAATGAAATAGCTTCATTCAATTCTATTATTCTATTCTTTGAATATGGTATTCTTATCTTCTTTTCATTATTATCATTCAATATTCTATTGTTATTCAAGTTCAATTTAAAATATAGAATATTAAATAATTAATAATTAAAATAAATAAAAAATTAAAATATCGAATTTTAAATATAATAATTTTAAATTAAATTTATAAATCAAATTATAATGAAATGGATTCATTCAGTTCTATTATTCTATTCTTTGAATATCGTATTCTTATCTTCTTTTCATTTAATATTCTATTGTTATTCAATTTAAATTTAAAATATAGAATATTAAATAATTAAAAATTAAAATAAAAAAATATTAAAAATAAAAAAATAAAAATATCAAATTTGAAATATAATAATTTTGAATTAAATTTATAAATCAAATTATAATGAAATGAAATATATATGCAAATATAATATATGATGAAACCAAAATATTACCTGGAGATTCCCTGGCGCCGGAATACGTCTTGGGCGGAACAGGGCTGGAAGGAGAAAATAATAGTAATAATATAATAATAATAATATTAATAATAATGTAATACGAATATTAATAAATCAGATTATTATTATTATTATTAAATCAAAACAAATGATTCTATTCTATTCTATTCTTATTAAATTATATTTTTATACATTATAAATCATCATGATTTATGATCATTATCTACAAATAATATATATATAATATACCTGGAAATTCCGCCGGCGCCGGAATACGTCTTGGGCGGAACGGGGCTGGAAGGAGAAAATAATAATAATAATAATGAAATAAGAATATTAATAAATTAGATTATTATAATTATTATGAAATCAAAACAAGCTATAACGTTAGATGATATTCTTATTAAATCATATTTTTATATTGTTATAAATCATCATGATTTATTATTCTTATATGCAAATAATATATATATATTATAATCATATATACATTATTGATAGATAATAAATAAATATTAAAATATTATATATAATATACCTGGAAATTCCGCCGGCGCCGGAATACGTCTTGGGCAGAACGGGGCTGGAAGGAGAAAATTAATAATATTAATAAATATTAATATAAATATATATGTGTGTCGATAAGAAAAGAGGATGGAAAAAATAGATACTATAAATATATCTACTATACATATAAAAAAATATGAAAATATAAATATAAATTTTATTTATATATATATATATATATATATATATATATATATATATATATATAATATAAATATATATGTATGTGTGTATAATAAAAGAGGATGGAAAAAACAGCTATCTGTGTATCTATCTAAAGGAATATAAATAATATAAATATAAATATTATAAATATATATATATAAATATAAATATAAATAATATAAATATATATGTATGTGTATAATAAAAGAGAATGGGAAATATAAATACTATAAATATAAATATAAATATAAATTATATATATTATATATAAATATAAATACTATAAATATAAATATATATAATAGTATAAATATATATAATTATATATCTATATAAATATAAATATATATATAAATATAAATATATATAATTATATATAAATATAAATTAATATCTATATAAATATAAATACCATAAATATAAATATATATAATACTAAAAATATAAATTATATATATTATATATAAATATAAATACTATAAATATAAATATATATAATACTATAAATATAAATTATATAATATATAAATATAAATACTATAAATATAAATATATATAATACTAAAAATATAAATTATATATATTATATATAAATATAAATACTATAAATATAAATATATATAATACTATAAATATAAATTATATAATATATAATAAATACTTTAAATATAAATATATATAATACTATAAATATAAATTATATATATATATATATAAATATAAATACTATAAATATAAATATATATAATACTATAAATATAAATTATATAATATATAATAAATACTTTAAATATAAATATATATAATACTATAAATATAAATTATATATATTATATATAAATACTATAAATATAAATATATATATATACTATAAATATAAATTCTATAATATATAAATATAAATACTATAAATATAAATACTATAAATATCAATATCAATACAAACCCCATCTGGAAAGAGGATGGAAAAATAGATATCTGTGTATCTATCTAAAGGAATATAAATAATATAAATATAAATATTATATATATATATATATATATATATATATATATATATATATATATATATATATATAATATATATGTATGTGTATAATAAAAGAGAATGGGAAATATAAATACTATAAATATAAATATAAATTATATATATTATATATAAACATAAATACTATAAATATAAATATATATAATACTATAAATATAAATTATATATATTATATATAAATATAAATACCATAAATATAAATATATATAATACTATAAATATAAATTAAATAATATATAAATATAAATACTATAAATATAAATATATATATTCTATATAAATATAAATACTATAAATATAAATATATATAATATTATAAATATAAATTATATATATTCTATATAAATGCTATAAATATAAATATATATAATATTATAAATATAAATATATATAATACTATAAATTATATAATATATAAATATAAATATATATAATACTATAAATATAAATATATATAATCCTATAAATATAAAGTATATATATTCTATATAAATATAAATACTATAAATATAAATATATATAATACTATAAATATAAATATATATAATCCTATAAATATAAAGTATATATATTATATATAAATATAAATACCATAAATATAAATATATATAATACTATAAATATAAATTAAATAATATATAAATATAAATACTATAAATATAAATATATATATATCTATATAAATATAAATACTATAAATATAAATATATATAATATTATAAATATAAATTATATATATATCTATATAAATGCTATAAATATAAATATATATAATACTATAAATATAAATATATATAATACTATAAATTATATAATATATAAATATAAATATATATAATACTATAAATATAAATATATATCATCCTATCAATATAAAGTATATATATTCTATATAAATATAAATACTATAAATATAAATATATATAATACTATAAATATAAATATATATAATCCTATAAATATAAAGTATATATATTCTATATAAATATAAATACCATAAATATAAATATATATAATCCTATAAATATAAATTAAATAATATATAAATATAAATACTATAAATATAAATATATATATATCTATATAAATATAAATACTATAAATATAAATATATATAATATTATAAATATAAATTATATATATTCTATATAAATGCTATAAATATAAATATATGTATATATTATAAATATAAATATATATAATAATATAAATATAAATAATATATAAATATATATATATATATAATACTATAAATATAAATTAAATAATATATAAATATAAATACTATAAATATAAATATATATATTCTATATAAATATAAATACTATAAATATAATATATATAATATTATAAATATAAATTATATATATTCTATATAAATGCTATAAATATAAATATATATAATACTATAAATATAAATATATATATATACTATAAATTATATAATATATAAATATAAATATATATAATACTATAAATATAAATATATATAATCCTATAAATATAAAGTATATATATTCTATATAAATATAAATACTATAAATATAAATATATATAATACTATAAATATAAATATATATAATCCTATAAATATAAAGTATATATATTATATATAAATATAAATACCATAAATATAAATATATATATAATACTATAAATATAAATTAAATAATATATAAATATAAATACTATAAATATAAATATATATATTCTATATAAATATAAATACTATAAATATAAATATATATAATATTATAAATATAAATTATATATATTCTATATAAATGCTATAAATATAAATATATATAATACTATAAATATAAATATATATAATACTATAAATTATATAATATATAAATATAAATATATATAATACTATAAATATAAATATATATAATACTATAAATATAAAGTATATATATTCTATATAAATATAAATACTATAAATATAAATATATATAATACTATAAATATAAATATATATAATCCTATAAATATAAAGTATATATATTATATATAAATATAAATACCATAAATATAAATATATATATAATACTATAAATATAAATTAAATAATATATAAATATAAATACTATAAATATAAATATATATATTCTATATAAATATAAATACTATAAATATAAATATATATAATATTATAAATATAAATTACATATATTCTATATAAATGCTATCAATATAAATATATATAATACTATAAATATAAATATATATAATCCTATAAATTATATAATATATAAATATAATTATATATAATACTATAAATATAAATTAAATAATATATAAATATAAATACTATAAATATAAATATATATATTCTATATAAATATAAATACTATAAATATAAATATATATAATATTATAAATATAAATTATATATATTATATATAAATGCTATAAATATAAATATATATAATACTATAAATATAAATATATATAATACTATAAATTATATAATATATAAATATAAATATATATAATACTATAAATATAAATTAAATAATATATAAATACTATAAATATAAATATATATATTCTATATAAATATAAATACTATAAATATAAATATATATAATATTATAAATATAAATTACATATATTCTATATAAATGCTATAAATATAAATATATATAATACTATAAATATAAATATATATAATCCTATAAATTATATAATATATAAATATAAATATATATAATCCTATAAATATAAATATATATCATCCTATAAATATAAAGTATATATATTCTATATAAATATAAATACTATCAATATCAATATCAATACAATACCTGGAAAAACCCGGCGCCGGGTTGACCGTGATGTATTCGCTTTCCGGAAGGTTCCTAAAAACGAGAAAAGGTTCCCTGGTTGGATTGATTGATGGGGATCCGGTTTGATGGACAGGGGAGGGCCCGCCCCTTTCCCCGCCCCTTTCCCCGCCCCTGCCTTTGACTGACTTGCTCTCCGTTTCCGCGGCGACGGCGGCTTGGTAGACGCCCATCTTCTGGTAGCTCCTGGGAAACGTAGTATGGGGTGAGCGGAGGGACCCAGGCGTCCGGGGGGAGGGGCGGGACAGGAAGGGGCGGGGCTTACCTGGGACCCGGGTGCAACTCGCTGGCGCTCAGGTAGGCCCCGCCTTCCGGGGTGCGGCTGGAAAAGAAAGCGGCGCTACGGTTCCCGGGTTTGATTGGCAGGCCACCGGGGTTTGATGGACAGGCAACCAGGGTTTGATTGACAGGCCACTGGGGTTGTGGGGTTGATTGAGAGGGGTGGGGAATGATTGACAGGTCTGGTCCCAGGGTGATTGGCGCCGCGCTACGGTTCCCGGCGCAACCAGGGTTTGATGGACAGGCAACCGGGGTTTGATTGACAGGCGACTGGGGTTGTGGGGTTGATTGGGAGGGTGGGGCGATGATTGACGGGTCTGGTCCCAGGGTGATTGACGCCGCGCTACGGTTCCCGGTGCAACCAGGGTTTGATGGACAGGCAACCGGGGTTTGATTGACAGGCCACTGGGGTTGTGGGGTTGATTGAGAGGGGTGGGGAATGATTGACAGGTCTGGTCCCAGGGTGATTGGCGCCGCGCTACGGTTCCCGGCGCAACCCGGGTTTGATGGACAGGCAACCGGGGTTTGATTGACAGGCGACTGGGGTTGTGGGGTTGATTGAGAGGGGTGGGGCGATGATTGACGGGTCTGGTCCCAGGGTGATTGACGCCGCGCTACGGTTCCCGGCGCAACCAGGGTTTGATGGACAGGCAACCGGGGTTTGATGGACAGGCAACCGGGGTTTGATTGACAGGCCACTGGGGTTGTGGGGTTGATTGGGAGGGGTGGGGCAATGATTGACAGGTCTGGTCCCAGGGTGATTGGCGCCGCGCTACGGTTCCCGGCGCAACCCGGGTTTGATGGACAGGCGACCGGGGTTGTCGATTTGAACCCGGAATGATTGACGGGTTCTGGATTTGATGGCCAGGTTATCCGTTTGAATGACAGGTTATCCATTGGAATGACAGAATGATGGACAGGAGAGGGCAACCCGGGTTCAATCCCAGAATGATTGACAGGTGATCGGTTTGAATGACACAGTGATTGACAGGGAGGGGCGAGCCGGGTTCAATCCCAGAATGATTGACAGGGATGGGGCAACCAGGGTTCAATCCCAGCATGATTGACAGGGATGGGGCAACCAGGGTTCAATCCCAGAATGATTGACAGGGATGGGGCAACCAGGGTTCAATCCCAGAATGATTGACAGGGATGGGGCAACCAGGGTTCAATCCCAGCATGATTGACAGGGATGGGGCAACCAGGGTTCAATCCCAGCATGATTGACAGGGATGGGGCAACCAGGGTTCAATCCCAGAATGATTGACAGGGATGGGGCAACCAGGGTTCAATCCCAGAATGATTGACAGGGAAGGGGCAACCAGGGTTCAATCCCAGAATGATTGACAGGGATGGGGCAACCATGGTTATCGATTCGAATGACAGAATGATTGACAGGGATGGGCAACCAGTGTTAGCGAGTCGAATGACAGAATGATTGACAGGCATGGGGCAACCAGGATCGTCGGGTCCCGCCCCCTGGATTCCAGAATGATTGACAGGGATGGAGCAACCAGGGTTCAATCCCAGCATGATTGACAGGGATGGGGCAACCAGGGTTATCGATTCGAATGACAGAATGATTGACAGCCATGGGGCAACCAGGGTCGTCGGGTCCCGCCCCCTGGATCCCAGAATGATTGACAGGGATGGAGCAACCGTGGTCGCCTAGTCCCACCCCTTAGAATGATTGACAGGTTATCAATTTAAATGACAGAACCATGGTGATGGATTCAAATGACAGAATGATTGACAGGGACAGGGCAACCAGGGTTGTCTGGTCCCACCCCCTGAATCCCAGAATGATTGACAGGTTATTGATTTGAATGGCAGAATGATTGACAGGGAGGGGGCAACCAGGGTTGTCTGGTCCCAGAATGATTGACAGGGATGGGGAAGCCAGGGTTGTCGAATTGAACTTAGAATGATTGACAGGTTATTGATTGGAATGACAGAATGATTGACAGGGATGGGGAAACCAGGGTTATCGAATTGAACTCAGAATGATTGACAGGTTATTGATTGGAATGACAGAATGATTGACAGGGATGGGGAAACCAGGGTTATCGAATTGAACTCAGAATGATTGACAGGCTATTGATTGGAATGACAGAATGATGGACAGGGATGGTCCCGCCCCCTGAATACCAGAATGATTGACAGGGATGGGGCAACCAGGGTTCTCTAGTCCCGCCCCTATAACCCAAAAT